TTAACATGAGCTGCCGATAGTTTATGACAAGACAGTTTCTTCCTAATTGACTGTCGTTTCTTCTCTTTTGTTTCACCATATTCCTTGGCCCTACCTTCACACCACTCACTAGATAATTTCAAACCTTGTGTTTTTGCAGGTCCTAGAGTTTCCACTGATTTACATGTTGTACAGCCTAGCCCTTGTTTACTAATTGTCAACCACTCGTATATTTTCAATTTTTCTAGCCATTGATCTTGTGTCCAGTAATTAGGGAAATAATTAACTTCATTTTCATGCACCTGACTTTGAGTAACGCTGTTATCTATTGCAGCTGTATTCACACATACGGTGGTTTCGTCTTCATTGCAGTGGATGCAACTTACAATTGTTTCACTTTTACTTACAGTTGCACACGGATCATTACTGCCACTTTCACTGAACTTGGATTTCTTACTGCGAATTATCCATTTTTCCATTTTCACCGATAAATGAAAACTGATGCTGAACTAAAATAACATTTCGTACAGTTTCTGTCATTGAAGCAAGGATCAACCCAAGGATTCCCCCCACTAAAATCGCTGGCTAAATTCACATTGGTTGGAATAGAATAAAATATGTATGTCCTTACGGCTGGGACGTGTCATCAACAATAGAAACTATTGTGATTATTTACTGCAAACGTCTGATCCATCGCTTAAATGGGATGGGTTCTCACATTATTGAACAAGTTTATATATGTATTACCGGATGTGAGAATACAGCCTGTACCCGTTATAACTGTATTTGTAGTTTGCCGAATATGCTATTTCAACACCAAATTTATTTCTGTCCAATGAAGTAGGAGGGAGTAGGAAATGTGTACCTCATTTTCTGCCAAGATATTGTGTTTTCATTTTCAATAAAATAACTAAGAATTCAGACGTGACATCAACAATAGAAAAACTTAAAATTATGTTGTAAACAACTGTTCTGTTGGAGACAGGCCACCTCCGCATTGGGATGGGATGGGATGCAAGGCAAAAGAAGGACATACTGTTTCCGACATTGTATAATTTATTATAGGTCTCAAGAATACGAAAATGAATCTTTCCTTAACCATTAACAGCCGGAGTTTTGAAACGCAGGTAAAGCTAGCTGACCGGGATTTATTTAAATGCCCGCTGCTTGCAGGGGTTTAAATCCACGTTTCTGCTCTACGTTTAAATGCCAGTTCCTCTTAGAGCGCTTGAGCGTTGTATTTGGAATTGCTCTATCTAATACAATTTTTATGATAAATGAATGGAATTAACTAAAAAAATCTTCACACAGCAGTTCTG